AATAAATGCAGTTCACATGTTGTAACTCCCACTTACGGGCACATATCAAACGGTTCAATTAATTTTCTATGTAAATTTATGCAACAACGCATGCAACAGCACACAATTTTTCCGGATTGTGTTTTTTTTTTTTACTACACATTACTGTCTTTGTATTCATGCAGTTTTTGTGAAAATTTACTAGCATTGTTTCATTTCGTTTTTTAATTACTAGCTTTATTGTTGTAGCAGACTTTTATGCCGCTAATTGTAAGTTACTGACTCACTTCACTCGGCTGCTGATACACGAGCAAGCATACACACATTTGGTATATACAGACAATGCAGTAAATAAAACCACTATAATGTACTTACGTTCAATCGACTGTCTGTCCAAATGTTGTTCGAACTGTCTATTAAGCGGACGCACAGCGAACGAGTGGACACTGTTGAAGGCATAAAAATGTGCAACACAGTTCGCTTGACGGTTGGTGGCGAATGGGGAGTGTTATTGCCGTGGCAGCCAGTGGCTAATAGCCAGAAATGTAAATGTAGCATAGAATAGGAGAACAGTTGCAATGACAACTTTTTCCATGCAACTATTGAGCCATTGAAGCATTGAATGTTTCGAAACTAGTTTATCGTTACTCGGGTGTACTTGTATATGTACCTGTTGGCGAGCCACGCATGCGAGTTTATTGTGTCTTACCGTGAACTCAAAATGGGTCAGTGGTCTCGCATGCGATTGGCTTGATTACATAAATTCTATATCGATTTTCATCAAACCGAATCGCCACAATGCACTTTCTAGTGAAGTTAGTTGCGTGTGGCAGACATTTAGAGCTATATATGTATATATTATACTTACATACAAGCAGTAATGCGTGAGATTTATTTGTTAATACTTTTAGCGGCCTTTTTAGTGCATTGAACTGAACTTAGCTGTGGTCTAGAACTATTAACTTGTAGTAAATAATATGTGCTGGATGATACGGAGGGGTTAGTTTGTCATGCTTTCCTTCGTACCACATTTCGCTGGCCGTTTGGGTCGAGTTTAAAACGCTTCACTCAATAATTCAGTCACTCACCAAAGGAAAACTTAATAATAATGTCGAGATTAGGATACGTCATGTTAGTAAGCCTTGTTCAGGTTAAAGACCCACTCTCTCCGGAATAAACCTTCGAGCCCGTAACAAAACCGCCCTTACCACATCAAGGCTAAAATAACTCCGATCCACACTTTTAGACAACTAGTTGAAATAAAGGATATATAATTAAGGATCTAAGAAGATTTGTGATTAGTTCAAATTATGTTGTCTGCCTTCACAAAGAACTGTATTCAAGTGTGATCCTTGGCCGCCTTGGGCGATAGGCCATCTAACCTCACCTAATCTAAGCCTACAAGTATTCTATTAACTGTTTGAGAAGTTAGTGCTTGTGGTGCTAGCGAATGAAATCGTAGCACAAAATGCATATCGCCTAAAAGTATGCCTTAGAAGAAATCATATTGCTCGTATCAGTATATTAAATTATTAAGTTTCATTGCAAATTTGACATTTTAAAATAATATAAATATAAACATCATTTTGCTTTCAGAAATTATTCTTTTTTTTTTAATAAATGGTTAAACTACAATTTAGCGACTCATCAAAATACAAACTTCTTTTTTGCAACCAGTTAAAAAAAAATAGTGTTCCAACACTTATAGAAATTTCTGATCTATATTTTTTAGCCACTACCGTTGCATAACGCCAATACCTTTCATTAAGTTCAATGTCCACTTAACGCCAAACCATTTGTCAACACCTCCCAAGTTCACTGAACTTTATTGCTCTGTGTTTTATGGCAAGTGGTTAGTAGGTACGCCGTTGTAACCCAAGTGGTAGTTTTTGTTGTTCTTATGCTGTTTTTATGTTTTTCAACTTCTTCTTAGATTTTAACACATGTTCTGCATAGCTCAACGGCCAGCCAACATAACTTCTGTAAGGTAGATGTTTGGAAGTGTAGGGTTATGTAAGCATTGCCGACTGTCTTTGTTTTTACCTGTTCAATAGTAGCAACTCTTATCTGCACTCCAGTTTTAAGCACCCTATGTCTGCTCCAAGTACTACTGAGTTGCGCCTTTTTGCTTGTGGTTTTTGTGTTGGCTTTCCATTCGCTTGTCACCTCTGAACGTTCTTTTTTCAGGCTTGTTGCAACATAATTCTTGTTAAGAAGCTATAAAATTATATATTTTACTCCAAAAAAAAAAAATGACATATCTGTATCTATCTGCATTGCTCTCAATTACGGTCAAAGCGTGGATTGTTCTTTTTGCAAAATGCAAAATTATAAGCAAAGATGAGATTATATTAAAAATTAAACTGCTTTCAAAAATGGTCAAACTATGAGAGTTTTGGCATTTTTTTTAAATTTGTAAAATTTTTGAAAGAAAAGCTTCTCAGGCTGTAAATTAAAATTAGGTACATACTTTATGTACTAGTAGCTCTGAAAGTATTTAAATTTTATTATTTTTCTCTCTCTATCTCTCCTAATGTATCTCTCTTTTTCGCTCTCTTTCTCTCACCATGCGTCAACTATTACTCTTTGAATCAAATTTGTTATCCTCTTTAACTGTTTTCATTGCAAAAGAAATTATAATTCTCATCCAGTTTTATTTAAAAGTTAATGGTGAGACTTTCTTTTACCCTGAGAAAGTACAATTTTTATTCAAAAATTATTCAGCTATAAAGCTTGCTTTTCTCAATATTCAAGCATAATTGGAAAATAGCGCCAATAAACTTGAAAGCTTTACTATTACTATTAGTTTGCATAAAGCTTTCTCAGCCACTAAAGTTATCGCTTTCTTCCATCAAGAAACAAACAATGAGATAATAGATCATAATATCATAAGTCAATATTAATAAGAACCTCAATTGAGTACCTAACCTCTTCAAATGACGAGGTCGTTCATGTATAAAAATCTCAGTTCTTTTTGCTATAATTATTTCAAGCAGACTATGCCCACGGGACCAAGCAGATTACTCACACAAACTTTTATATAAAGAAGCTTCTTGTTAACGCTGTGAACAATAAATTCACATAATCAACCGCCGACAATCACGATGAATTCCCGTGCAGATTGTGTGAAGATTTACACAATTCCATTGCAATTGCACACGAGAAAAGCACTGAAGAATGGTAAATGTCTGAGAAAGCGGTTGGCGTAGCTTTTAATTTGCTTTAATTGTCTTGCAACAATTAAGAAAAAATTCGAAATGAAGAGGGAGCCACTCATTGGAAAAGCAAGCAAGAATGTTAGGAGAGCATATAGATGCGTATATATATACATATAAGCAAATATAGCAGAGAAGAGAGAGGCGCAAAATTTATGTTGAAAAAGCCTGAAAGACAGTCTGACTACTTTTTAATAAGTCAAACAGTCTGTCAGCGGAACGGTCATTTGAGCGTCCCATCAACGCGTCATAAAAGTTGACGACTAGACCAAATATCAATTAGGCAATGAGTCAGTCACACGACCAGTTCGTCGCTGAATTTGAGTGATTTGGCTTAGCTTTTATGTTTTAACTAATTGAATGAACGAAAGGCTGCACTCACTATGTTTAAAGAAAACTCGACACTTTCGAGGTTTGGGAGTATACATATATGTATGACAGATTCTCATATTATATGCAGCTCTTATACCTTTTTTAGGTTCAATGTTTTATATATACTGCAAAAATTAAGTGTTCTGCTCTGCTGAGCATTCAGTCAAATTCCCACACCAAGCGCTATTTTTGCTATTTTTATATTAGAATTGATGTAGACTTATTCAAAGAGCTTGAACGTTAGGAATAAGAAGGTTATGGGACCTTGATATTGCTAGTATGGTTTTTAATTTTTTATAGCTTCAACAAGATTATTATTATTAGATATTAAGTTTGCCACGATGTTCGCAACACACAAAAGAAGACGTCGGCGACCCTATAAAATATACATATAAATGATCAGCGTAAGGAGTTGAGTCAATTTCGCCATCTTCTTCTGTCTGTCCCTCAGTTTTTAAGTTATCGTTTTGTGTACACGCAAAGAAGCTGGTCATTTGTCGAAACCACCGATATCGGACTACTATAGCATATCGCTGCCATACAAACTGTCCGATCAAAATCAAGATAAAGATATTTTATGCTATAAGAAATTAACCTGTGAAGTATAGTACCCAGCTTCGGTTCAGCTGAAGCTAACGTTTTTTCTTTATTTTGTTTAGAAATGTTATATTTTAGGCTAAGCCAGTTTTAACCAACTATATAACTGTTTTTGGTGAAATTCTAAGTTTAATGTTCTCTCCCTGTCTCACTTTGTCAAACCATTCGCAACATGCGAAATTAGAAACCCACTTTTCTATCTTTATAACTGTGAATTCCTTTTCTCTCATAAATATAAATTAGACAATAGTTTTTTTTTAATTGTTGCTATTCCCTTTTCAACTTTATTGGCTAAAACAACTTTTGACTCATACATAGTTCATAACATCATCCGCTCAGCAGTGCTTAATAAACCGAACCTTGCGCATCTGTAATTTTGATGCTGTTAAATGTAGAAACGAGTTAAGAATGCTTTTAGCCAATATACTTTTGTAGTAAAAAGAACTGCAAGCTCTTAAACGACAACAATGAGAACGCTTGTTTCTAGCAATTCAAATCGTTATTAATGAACTCATTTGAGTTGACGAAAAAGGTAATGTGGCTAACTGCTAATGAGTAATAGACTTAGCGATGAAGCGCAAGAGCTGTCAAGGTTGTTCAGTAAAATATTAAAAAAATACTAAAAACATTTATAATCATTTTAGAATATAATAAATATAGATATTAGATATGCCGTAGGTGTTAACGCGTCATTAAAAATAACTGTATTTGTGTTTAATATAATATCAAATTTGCTACAAATCCAAAAAATTATTTTGAGGTTAGAGAGCATAAAAAGAGTTGTTGCAACAATATAATAATTTAATTTACTTAAATACAAATATTATATAAACTTACAGCTGCTTTAAAAAAAATCTCTCTGCTCTCCACTTTTCTGTTGTGCTGCGTGCTCTCTAATATTTAAGCTTACTCTCAATTACACTGCGCGAATTTTTCACAACACTGTTTTAGAATTATTATTTTATCACTTTAAATTATTCTCATAAAATTATCTAAGCAATTTTACTGCTTGACATTAATTTTTAAAGCTTCTCTTCATTTCTCTTTTATTTTTCCTTCTTATTTAGTTTATTGTTATTGGAAAGTAACAATATTTTTTTCATAAACAGATTAAAAAACTTGACTTTTTACACTTTTCAACACTTCCGCCTTCAACGACCCTTCATCACTCACTGAACTGTAATTGAACTTCGTTATATTTGTATGTATTTATGTTTCGTGCACTTTTTGGGTTTCTTATTTCACTCTTTTATTCACTTCCGTTGTGTTTGGTTGTTTTGGAGATTATTATTTTTTCTTGTTAATAAGACTTGACTTTCAATTTCACTAGAATAATGTCGCTTCTTTTAGTTTACCGTGTTGTTTTACCGTTTAGTGGTTTTTTAGTATGTAGTCTCAGCACTGTAAAAAATAAATATACATTTTGAATATAAATTATTATATTAAATTAATGATCTAGCAATATTTCAGTAGCGTAAGTTTATATTTAACTGCATCGGACATATAACTCATTCTGTCTGCCTACATAATTTTTCATATTACACCAAATACCTTGGAAAAGTGGTGCTAGAGTATAAATTAAGACTAATTTGGAGAATAACGTTAATTTTTAAAGTTATCATAACACAATATTCTCCATTTTGTGGTTATTTATTTCATTTCAAATGGCTGCCCTTACTTTAATTGCTTATTAAATATTTTTTTATTCAAAATTGATTAAAACTATTTTCATACTATGTTTTTTATTTATTATTATAAGGAAATTCTGAGTCCCTATAAAATATATATATATACATATACGAGTTTAAATAACCAGCGTGACGAGCTGTAATATCTTCTTGAAATTCGGCAGTAACAATTCCCTAAAAAAATTGTAAAATATCCGAAGAAAATATTCAGTTCGCACCTCTATAGCATATAGCTGTTATCGATCAATGAAAACCTTGTCCTTGTAGGAAAAACTTTTTTAATTGAGAAATCATTTTCACGAAATTCGGCAGACATTATTGCCCAAGGCTACGCTAAAACGTCCGAAGAATTTTTTAAAATCGGACCTCTATAGCATATAGCTGAAATACAAACTGAACGATCAGAATCAAGTTCTTGTAAGAAATTTCATTTTCTTTTTTAGTTGTGAAGGGTATTCTAGTTTCGGTGCAGCCGTAGTAAACTTTTTTTCTAGTTTTTATTTTATTTTGTTTTGTTTTTTAAATATTTTAATATTTTCGCAATTATCGCTGTATATTATTTTTGACTTTTTACACTAGGTTTTGCTTTACTTTCACTACTTAACATTCGTTTATTTCGCTAAAATATTATTCACTTCAACTTTCATTAATATGTATAATTAGCTAATTACCCTTGTACAGGCATTAATGGTAAGTACCCATATTTTTTCTACTAATGAGTGCAATTATTCGCCAAGGATTTTTATAAATTTAGCTAAGCCTTTCCTTACAGAAATATCTACATATACTATGTATAGTTAAGCTACAAAACGTTTCATTCCATCTTTCTTGACGCTTTCGAATTTTTCAAAATATTAAAATAAATTAATACCCAGACACCCAATATATTTTTATGCGCCCATTTAGCGTTAATTTTCTAATATTTTCCATATTTTAACTGCTTTTGGCAAAAATAAATTTACTGATCATAAAACTTTTCGAGTTTTCACTTTCACAACACCACAGCAGCAAAGCTTTATTGGCACATAAAAAATCAATTAGCGGCAAAAAATTTTAGCCACAAAATATACTCAACATAAAATAACGGTTTAAAGTACAAATATTAAAATATTAAGCGAAAAGATAACAGCGACCATAAATTAACACCCAAAAGCGGCTAAATGACTTTATCAGTCAAGTAAAATGTTTAAGCAACAATTTAAAGGCAATTAAGTTATTTAGCGAAAATTATGCCGCAAAGCTGGTGTGAAAAATGATTAATCACGTTGTGGGAACATTTCAAATAATTTTATTTCAATTATTTGATTTGGCGCGCACGCGAGCTGCGCCGTCGACAATTTGTAAATTTCACGCTTGTTGTTGCATTTGTTGTTGGCATATTATGCACATTCAATTAAAAAATTAATTACGCACATTTAAACACTGGAAATCTTTATGCGCACACAATTATTATTTCACTTCGATAGTTTTTGTTGTTTCTTTATAATTTTTTTGTTGCATGCAACTTAAGACATTGCAACAAAACGCATTGCAACGACCTCACAACAGTGCGTAAATGCCTGCTAGTGAATGCCTCAGACACTATTGTTTTCCATAAGCGATTTGCCATTGGCGATTGCCATGCGCCGATTGACGGCCGGGGCTTTAGCGCTTGGCGATTGGAGATACATAGTTGGTAAATTGGCCGCCGGCGTTCAACGACCGCAACGCAGGTATTTTCACATTTAGCCGCAATTTTTTTTTTACGCACAATTAGCAGCTGCCGGCAAATGGCATTCGTCGACCGAAATAGGCTCACATTTGAAAGGCGCGTAAAAATAGCCGTGCGACAAAATATCCGCCGTTGACCGACCGGCACGTCAGTGAAGGCTTCTTGTTTTTTTTGGTTTCAGATAGTTCCGGGTTATTTAGACACAACAATTGTGCGTGTACTTATTGGTAGCTGCACTTGAGTGCGCTGAGACTAGTGGCGCTAAAAATACTTTCGGTTTCTTAGAATCTTAAAAAAGTTGTATGTATCTCGAATGTACTACTTTTTGAAGTTATCATCAGTTATATGGGACAAAAGCTGCGAAACTGACCCGACATCATCTTGGGCTAAGGGTAAGACTTGTCTCACACTTTGATATATGAAAGTTTGGAACCCAAGCTATCGCCTGTGATTCCTTATTTGACTACCCTTTGATAGATATATTTAGAAATCCATCTGGTTTTCAGATATGATAGAAATTATAAATTTTTTATATATCTATATTTTTCGTTACTTTTGACTAGTTCCCGAAATCCCAAAAATAAAAAGGAATTTCTATAACATTGGTGCCGGAATCCCGAAAATGCATGCTTTCGAAATGTACAAGTTTAAAAGCAGAGTATTTTATTCACTTTGATCTTTTTCGCAAACTTACGAGTCCCAAAACCCCGAAAATGTTTAGTGTTGCAATATTATGAGTCCCGAAATCCCGAATTTTTTTTTTCAAATTTAGTGAAATTTTTGAAATTATGATATAATAGCAAAGAGAAAATCTTCGTGAATCCCGAAATGCCGAAAATGTATGTGATGGTGTTAAAAAAATATTCGTTATTTTTGATAGCTTTTGCAAATTTCCGAAATCCCGAAAATGTGCAGTATTGTAATATTATATGTAAGTGCCGAAATCCCGAAAATTCATGCATTCAAAAATGTACACGTTTAAAAAATCAAATATTCGAAAAATTTTCTACAAAAATACCGTAAATGTTATATTATCTGGTCTGAAATCCCGAACATATTTGTTTTCCCTAATTTAGTGAAATTAATAACATCGAAAATATTTAACAAAGATAACATTTTTGTGAATCCCGCAATCCCGAAAATTCCAGATGTTACAAAATTGTTCGTAATTTTGGCAATTTTTGACAGTTTCTGCAAATCTCTGAAACTCTTTAGTGTTGCAATATTATACAAGTTTAAAAAATTAAATAATTTTTTAATTAAAAAATTTTTGCAAAAAATTAGAGTTGCAATATTATGAGTCCCGAAATCCCGAAAATATTTTTTCGCAAATTTAGTGAAATTATTAAAATTAAAACAAAGAACAAATGTTTTTCACTAATAAAAACCAAACGTACATATAACATTTTTAAAATTCGCTATACAATACTTGCATGCACACATATATATAATATAATATATACATGTGTATGTATATATATATGCTTATATATGTATGTATAATACATGTAAAATATATATTTGATTTCTTTATGTGCTGCATTATTTATTTCTTTTCGATCACGTTTACTTAGTCATAGGTCAACCGTAATAAGTACACAATACAACAACAATAATAGAAAATCGATGGAGCTGCACTATGGGTGTCTATGTATGTACGTATATCAGTCACATACCAGCATGCGACAAGAGCATACACCATAATGTAAATGTTGCAGTTTGTGAAAGTCGTCAACTACAACAACAACAACTATCACATGCAGACAGTCATTAGTGCAGTGGAATGACGAAGTCAAAGCAGAAAATGGCAGAAAAAACTTAAATTGGCGATTTTGTCAACGCACATTGAACTTGATCGAACGGTAAATGTGTTGTGGCACGAAGCGTGTGAGGGTAGTAGCACGCATGATGGTCACAGTAGCAAAAACAAAAAAGAAAGAAGTAAAGAATTGAAGTGAAGTACAAAGATAATAAAAAATGCAGTCAAGAGGCCGAATAAACGCGCCTATCTATATATTTACGAGTAGATATGTGTTTATGTTTGTACACATATGTATGTATGTATGTTTGAACTTTGTAGGCAATAGAAGAAAACGCGCATAAAATAAAAGTTCCACACCGAAAGCAGCAGAAAAACTGTGTCCAGCGCTTTTTATGCGCATCCGTGGATGCTGCTCATCAAACGGCACATGCTACGGTATACAAACACACATATACATGCATACTCAATTGTGCACACACCCAGCGCAGCTCAGTAAAAACCAAAAACGAAACCAACAACCGACCCGACAGCACTGTAACTACATTAATTTACAGTTACTTGCAGCAAGTGGCCTGCACTTGCCGCTAGTGTGTGGCGTATATAACAGTGAAATGCAACGAAAAAAGCGTAAAAGAAATCAAAACATGATTCTTGAATAAGCAGCAAAAAATAAATTATAATAAACAAGTTCAGAACTTTGGCTGTGTACACAGTGGCTTTGGGCATCAGACATTAACAAACTTGGGATCGATAACTTTATCTTTTAGGGTTGCGGCGGAGCCATACTATTTATAACCTGTCGCTATGGTCTTCAATAGTTATCGAAATAAATATCGATAGATATATCGAAATGGGGATCGATAAATTTATCGGTTGAGGTTTCCTAGTAGCCATACTATTTGTACACAGTGGCTTTGGTTATCAAACATTAACGAAATTAGGATCGATAACTTTTTGGCTGAGGTTTTAGAAAAGCCATACTAATTCTAAACAGAGTTTACTAAGTTTGCCATGAAGCCTGCAAACAAATGATCAACGTGACGAGTTGAATTGAATTGAAGAGATATGTTCGTGTGTCCGTCTATCCGCATCGGCCTAAAATTTTACGCTCCTTCTTTTCTCCCTAAGAAGTCGCTCACTTATCGAATGGCCGATATCGAACCAATATAGCAATTACATAGCTGCCATATTAACGAGCTGATCCAAATCAAGTTCTTGTATGAAATACATTTTTGTTTGACAAGATATCGTAACGAAATTCGGCTGGAAATATTTTTTCGGGCAACGGTAGAATCTCTGAAGAAATCGTTTAGATCGGCTCACTATAGCATGTAGCTGCCATACAAACTAAACGATAATACTCATATCTTGTATAGAAAACTTGTGTGTTTGTAAGGGTGTTTTTAATTAAAATTAAATTAATTTCTTGCCATTTCATATCATTTTATTTCAATTTCAATTTATTTCACATAATTTAATGCAATTTCTTTCCGTTTCCACCTCTCCGCTGCCCTTGCAAATCAGTCGCGGATTATACGGCGAATTGGCAATTTTTTTCGCTTTCTGCAAATTTATCGCAATCAAGTGGCTACACACATAAGCATTTACACACACGTACACTTAATTTCGCGCTTCTTGCTTTCTTCCTTTTACTTGGACTATTCCGCATTGCTTTGCGATATATGCGATTTGTTTGTAATTTTTTTTCGATTTTTTCTTTTGATTTGCTGCGCTAATGTTGTTGTCGTTGTTGTTATTGATTTGCCGGAATTTTTACTGTTAGTGCTACCTTGTTGCTGTTGTTTTTGTTACTGCAATTACTTATATTTGCTTTTGTTGTTGTTGTTGCTGCTTTCACGCTTGTCCACACACATCGATATAAGTGAATGGTGAACGGAAAGTGGTTAGCGGTGATTTTTTCTTTTGCTTTTTTGTGCATTTTTCTGCATCGCCACGCGCTATCGCAGCAACGGCAACAACAAGCCCGAGACACAAGTCACTTGCTAAATCGTCTGCAACAACATCAACATGCAACAGCATCAACGACAGCAACGCAAACTAACTGCCGCATAGCAGCAGAGAAATCTTTTTAATGGATTTATCAATGCGCGTCCCGGTCTCGGTCTCGTCGCGGTCGCGGTCACCGGTATTGTGTGGCAGTCTGGCCGGATCTGTTGCTGCGAATGTTTATCGCCGTGGAAAAAGTTGCCAATAAGAAAAGTGTTTGCCGTTAACGATGCTGTGGCTCCTTATTGTGACTTTGGCAAATGTTGCTGGCAGCAAAAGCGTGTGGATCCATTGATACACACCGCTCTACCGATGCCTTGTATATTATTCACATATTTTCGAGCAATATTTCAAATTTCTAACAAAAGATTTTTTACACAGATTTGTTTCTCATCTCTAAATGGAGGTTAGATCTACGTTGAATGATCAGTAAGCTCTTAAGATCATTATTTTTAGGAGTTGACACTAACTTCTCTTAGCATGGACAAACACCACAACTCAGTCAAGAAAAATTACAAGTACTAAGTTTTAAAATTAAAATTCGAAAAATAATAGTAAAAACCACAGATCAATCGGGAATGTTTGTACAATATCACCAAAAACGAAAGCCTTTAAAAGTCAAAACCAAAATTAGCGAAAAAATAATCTTGTATTTTTGTGTTAAGAACCATGCTAAGCCAAGTCTAGCACCAAAAAATAATAATAATAGAGATTTTAGGAGCTTCTACCATATAGGCCCTTCCGATAGTAGTAAAATACGGAGAATTAATCGAAGAAAATTAGATTAAGTTTTCATTAAATTTTTTACTATATCGCAAGACATCATGAACACCACCGAACATTGGAAGGAAGCTGTCATTAATAATCAAAAAAATATTACATGAATTTTAAATCAAATAGTTAAAGGACAATCTTACCTATCTTAATTAACTACTAAGGAAAAAATGCAAACATTTCACTACAGACGCTGAGACGAAATCTGGTTCAGATACTTTCACTGAAAGAGTTCAAATGGCACTTTAAGGCTATCAAACACTATCCACTCAATAGTTTTCTCCAAACCCTGTTTGTTCAGCTCTTAAATTGGATACATATAGCCAGCTAGCGTTTTCTTTTGTTAGATTATCGTTATTTTAAAAGATATCCACAATCAAAAAACTCTAAACTACAAACAGTTAGGAATGTTGATTCAAAATGTTCTGAACGACTAAGAGAAACCTTTTCATAGCAGAAATCTGGAATATCTAACAATATCTTCGAAATCTATTCGATTTTATTAGCTAAATTTTCGTTGTGTTCTCATAGTTTATAACGATACTTTCTTATCACTTCTAACAGTTTTCATCCTTCGTTGCTCATAAATCTTATAATTATATTTTAAATCGCAAAATACGTGCCAATTTTCTACTACTTCTAGAGAATTTATTACTTTAAGAATAGTTTAATTTTTATGACTTAAGTATTTTTAAATAATTACTTAGGGACAATCTTTGTCAGCGTTCTAACATAACAAATCACTAGTTTAACACTACAACACTTAATACTTTAGACTCAGATACTGAGGTAATTAAATGATGTGCTATTAGTTTTACTTGCCAAAATATCTTTTAGGTTAGAAATTTTAAAACCAACGCGGTGAAACGCAAAACAAGATGACCTTCACAATTGCACTTCTTATAGCATAAAGGAGTATAAAAAGACTTGACTATCTTGATATTGAGCAGTCGGTTTGTAGGGCAGCTATATCCCTTAGTGGGCTGATCTGAACAATTTGTTTGGAGATTGCATCGTTGCCTTGGACAATAAACTATGCCAAATTCTGTAAAAATATCTTGTCATATAAAAAGTTTACCATACCAGAAATTAAATTTTATCGGTTAGTTTGTATGTCAGCCATATGCTATAGTGCTCCATGCTAAATCAACTCAGTCACGCTGATCATTTATATATAAGTATATCGTATAGGGTCATCGATATTTTTTTACATTGTGATTAAGTTATTGATTTTTTGATATAAAAAAATAAACAAGAACAGTTTGATATTTAGACATGAAGCCAAGTTAAACAAATTATATTCTATATTTTTTAAACAAATTATAGCAAAAAACGTAAATTAACACTTAAGTACTTTAACTCGAGTATTTCGTTATTGGCTTTTTTAAGCCTTGCTTTTAGATTTCCATTTTGGTTTTTTGATTGTATATTAATTTTTTATTTTTTTAATACTTTAATAATTTTTTAATATATATATATTTTTTATACAAAATTTTTGCTCCATTTCATTTATATAAAAATATTTTTTTATTATTTATTTGTTTTTGTTTTTGTTTTTTTTTATTATTTATTATTTTTTTAAAATATTTTTTCCTTTGTTTATTACACAATCTTGTGGGTTTTTGTTTATTTCGTACTTAAAAGCTTTTAGATCCAACTTCACTTCAATTCCCCTCTTCCTTCCACTTCACATCACAACAAATGCTAAAAAAAATCACTTAATGACACCATAAATTATGCGAATTAATATAACGACAAAATGAATACAATTTCCATTACACACATACAGGTTCGTTATGCTGAGCACCGCAAAAATTGGTTTAAAAAGCGAAATTCATTAAAACGAAATTGTGTCAAAAACAGAGCACAGAAAATTAACAAAAACAACACGCACAACGTTTCGACATATTTTTAAACGCAAACAATATGCATATATTTATATAAATTGTATATACTATATATTAAAGAGTAGGGAATATTTGTTAAATGTAAGCGAACGACGAACGCGTGTTGCACGCGCAACATACCAAACTCTAACTGCGCGCGGCGACCAAACAAAACTCAGCTCAAACGCTAGCAACGTATTATTACAGGCGCTACTCACCAACACTACCAACAGCTGCTTGACGCGCGTCGCACTTCGCACACCGCGCGCCGCCCTATGACCAAGCGATTTGTTGGCTAGCCGGTTTGCTTGGGTTGTTACTGGACAACGGGCTAACAAAACGTATCAAAATGTATGCATGTGTGTGCGCGTAAAAGTCAGCGGCAGCGCCTCTTCCCCAGTCGAGACATTTAAGCAGCTTAAGAAACGAGTTAGCTAACAGCCGGTTGCTAGCGCGCTAGCCGTATGTGTGCGGAGCGGCGCATCGCCAGCGTACCGGCCGTTTCTTAGGAAGGCCACAAAGCATGAGTGTGAAAATTCAATTACATAGCGTAGCTAGAAAATAAACAAACTTAAAAATAGAAAATATAAATAAATAGACGCATTTCGTTGTGAAAGCGTTGCTGCGCGGCATGTCGCGCGCGATGTTGACTCGCGCCGCGTTGCGTTGCGGTGCGGTGCGGCGCTAACGGAGGCGCGCGTCTAACAAAACTTGAATGAAATTGCGCTCTGCGCGCTATTTGAGTTAGTGAGTGTAAATTGGGGACGTTTCTGTAAGCGGTTCCCTGCTCAACGCGGTGAGCGCGCGTAAGTTGCGGCGCTTGGTGCTCGATTAACTCGTTAGTAGCCCATATAGAGAGACTTACAAATCAGCGTTGTGCTTTATTGTTTGTTTGTGACTTTTATTTTTATATTTATTTCATGTCTTTATTGTTATTGCTCTTTTATGTTATCAAATGCTGCGCGTTTATACTAGCTTTTTGATGTTTATTGCATTTGGGAAGCATTTCAGAGAGCCTTGCCTATGAGGTCGAGCGCGCTCAAATACAATAACTACTACTCATTTTATACAGTACTTTTGTAACCGAGTGACATTTCTTTCACGAGTTTATTCCTATTTTATCACATAACGGTATCTTATAAATGCATAACAAAAATATAAAATTGTATGCAATAAACTGTTCAAAGTTAAACTATCAAATATTTCTAAACCATTTCTCCCCATCACGTCTATATTTGCTTCACCCAAATCTTTCAATTTATCTCAGCGCCAGCATCTGATTGTAAACAAAGCAAAATGAGAATTGAGAAACAAAAACAATCAGCCGCGAAACCTGTTTCTAACGCATTCGACAGCAGCTACACTCACTTTACATTTAGATTGCCCGAGAGGCTCTAAGCTACGTTTGTCAAAGCCTAACAATATCAACAAATAATCATTAAATATTCATTGAGTTTTTGAGCAGCGGAGATTCTGCACTCACAAATTCGTTCTGCCTGTGTATATGTGTATGTGCTTGTAAGTAGTGTCTCTCCTTATTTTAATTACAATGCTTACAAAAAAGCACATTGTAATTGATTACATTATGATTTTTTTTATTGTTCGGCAAGTCTTTACAGATTTTACACTGAAAAAAAAATAGTGTAAAGTTTCGAAGTCTGAAAAATAATATAAATCAATATAAAAAAATAGAAGCAATTGGTATGGACATGATATTTTAATCGACCTCGTTACTAAACTCGTATTCACCTATGTATTCACCGATGGATCAATTGGTGAAATAAGGACAATAGCAGGCTTTTTCTGTAGTAATTCATACACAGAAGGTAGCTCCAAACTTAATGACTACAAATTAGTCTTTCTGGCCGAAATTGTTGGCTAAAATAAGTTGCCAATGAGATAGTGGACGAGATTGCCAAGAGTGGTGTACGGCTGCCATGAAAACGTGCCCGACATTGGTAAGCCCATGCATTGCCTATACTACGATCTGGACAGGAGCATAGCAAGAAAAATGAAAACGCGATGGAACGATCTACTTGTCTGCGCCTCCAACCGTCGTCAGGTTCTCGTGTTCTAAAAAAATGTGATTTGTATTATTTATTCATGTATAAAATTTTTCGCAAAATATTTTCTTTAGTAACTCCTATGCCCTGAAATTCTCAACTGGTTTAAAGAAATTATAGAGAGCTTTGTTAAAGAATGTCATATACTATAATATATGTATCAAATTGCTACTAAAAAGTGTTCTACTCTATAAATTAACTGTTAGGCTTGTTTACTGGCTAGTTGTTTTATAATTATCATTCAGTTAATAAATTAAAGCTTATTTATTGACTGCACACGGAACTCAACTTAAGTGTTTATGTTTATTAGATAGGTTGTACAACTTTCATGTGTTCGTTGTTAACTTGCTAGTTATTTTATTATCCTTAGAGGTCAAATAAAGTCTGCAATAAATGAATAAAAACTTATCTTGTATATAAAAAATGAAATTGGGTTAATTACACCATTTACAATTGAAGAAGTGCTGATCTTTTGATAATGTCTGATTTATTGAGTTTGTCACAACGCAGAATAGTCGTAAAGAACCAAATATCGTAAAGAACCAATTAAAAAATTTAGTCTAGGAAGATATCATAATACTTAAAAAATATTCAAACGGTAACGTAAAAAAAGTAAGAGTGGAAAATGCTAAGGATTGTCAAATAGATTGGTCACAATAATTCTTTGATTGAGCTTTGTAGTGAAGTTTATCTAAATGATAAAGATATGTGAGGTTATAAAATTCCATAAATTGCAATTCTCAATCGATTTAAAGAACTCTCTGAGTTTACAACGCCTATTTACGTCGCTAAAATCTAAAAAAAATATATATATATAATATATATTTATAGATGCGCTTGGCTGACGCTGCATGCAAGTTTTTGCTTCGGCGTTAAAAATGATTAACGACATGAATAAAACTATTTACAAAATCCCATGCTATTAATTAAAAATTAACAACTCTTATGAAATAACAAACACTGAACCTTTATTCCAACAATTTTGTTTAAAAAACTATGCATCAAAATAAAAAATAGTAATATTTAAACATAAAATGTAAAACAAAAATCGCTTTAGCTTATGAAAAAGACAATACCGCAGTTGTATAAAAATTCAAACGTACTGCTTTCAAGGTCTACCGGCAAGCTGATGGCGGCCAAGCTAGTTTGCAGACTATTTGAACGGCGATTCGAATGTTTTATTAACGCGCCGCAGTTATGGCAATACAAACTGCATGCCAATGGAGGCATGTATATAGTGTGAAGAAGGAAAAAACTTCAACTCAATGTATGGCATATATATATTTACACGTATTTGTGAATATGGGTGTGCATGTGTTTTTGAAAAAATTTGGGTGCGCTGGGGATTTACTAGAGTAATGAAAAATTAATCGCTAAAATATCTATGATAGCAAACGTTTGTGGTCAATAAAAGCTTAGAAAATTAACATAAAATTATTAAAAAAATTTATTTGTAAACAAAAATTAAAAATATATGAAAAGTCTGAAAAACCGAAAAAACATATTTTAAATAATTGTTCTAAGATTTTAATTTTTTTAATAAATTGTAAAAATAAAAAAAAAATTTAATTATAGAATATTTACAGAAATTATTAAAAATATGAAGAAATGTTAAACAATAAAAAAAGTTCTGTTTAAAAAATTTAAAATATATAAAATTTATATTAAAAAAACAAGTTACGAAAAAAAATTTTACTATAAAGAAATATACAAAATTGAAAAAAGTAGTAAAAAATTATTAAAAAACATGAAAATTGTTAAAAAAAATATATTTAAGAAATTACAATTATAAAATATTAAAAAAACCTTACATTAAAGATATTAAAAAAATTTATTTTAAAAAAAACAAAAAAATGTGTTACCATTTTTTAGTTAAAAAATATTTTTAAAAATTAAATATATATAATATAATATTAAAAAAAATATTTTATTGAAATATAAAAAATCACAGCGTAATAAAAACTATTCAAAAATAAGAAATATTGTTAAAAATCATATTTAAAATATTAAAAAAAAAATATAAATAAAAAAAAATATTAAAAAATTATGAAAAATGTATAATGATGATTAAATATGAAAAATTAAAGATATAAAATCTTAAAAGAAATGATTTTACAGAAAAATAATTTTTATTAAAAAAACTGATAAGAAACGTACTTACATTTTTTTTTAATTGTTTAAAAAAGATTATTAAAAAATATATAAAAAGTGAAATTTTAAAATTAATCACAGAAAACTATTAGCAAAAATTACTACAAATAAATCGTAACAAATACCAACCATCGCATGACATATGTGGCATGGCAAATATAGCATAACAAATGACTGCTGCTACGAGCGCTTTTAAGATAAATATGCAAATTTCGTGTTAAACCAGGCATTAAAGTATGCATTATTGATTTTATGTAATCAATTTGTAACCAGTTCGGTGCTGGAGTGACATGCAAGCCACTTTAGAAACAAAAGTATTTACTTTCAAATTGGCAAAAATATAATTAACTAAATTAAAAAATTTAAAAAAAATTTACTAAATATATTATTAAATTAAACTAATTTTTAAAAAAATTTTAAATTAAAAAAAAATTTATTTAATTAAAAAATTTAAAGTTAATTTAAAACATAAAGCGATTTTTTAAGAATTAAAACTGAAAAACTTATGTTAAATTACATATAATAAAAATAAAAAAAAACCAACAAAAAATTACTAAATAGAAACGAGAAAACTAAATTAGTAAAAACAAATAAAATATAAACAAAGTATTTTTTTTATTTAGAAATATAAAAAAATAAGAATTTTTTTTAAATTTTCAAAAATATTAAATAAACAATACTAGCCGAAAAAAACGTATGCAAATTTGATTAAAAATCTTTTTTTTTATTTAAAAATATCAAAAAAAAAATTAATAACATATAAAAAAATACTAGGCGATTTTATGCCAAATTTATAAAAATATATAAAAAAAATATTAAATGAACAATATTTAAAAACTTTTTACATAGAAAAGGTTTTTTTACTTTTAAAAATATCAAATAAGAAATACTAGCCGAAAAAAATAAAAAATTATGCGATTCATAATTATTATATAATTTAATTAAGT